TATATATATATATATATATATATGATATTATTTATATGATAGATATATATATATATATATATATACCGGGTGTCCCAAAAAAAAGTACTCCGGTTTGATTTATAATAACTTCTAAACAAGTAAAGCTATCAAACAGAAATAACTTGCATTAAATAGAGGAACGACTAACTTAGATTTTGATATGTTACAGTTGTATTTTACTTAAAAATTCACGGAGATATTAATGTTCAAATTCGGAGGCATATTTTGGGATGTGTCTAAAATTAGCGAAAATCGGCATATCAAATATTAACTTGAACGTTTGTTTGCTTGATGACATATCAGGCTAACTTGTATTTCAGCGAATTGTCGTTAGGGCTTGTAAGGGATATGGCCGTGTAGATTTAGACTTCTTACATGTAAGTCTTAGCTCATTGTTTCCTGAAATATGAACGTACGAAATTATGCAAGTATTTAATAGGTCTTTACAAACTTTACACATTTATAAGGTACATCAAAGACCATGCAAAGCAGACGCTTAAATTTTTCTTAGCCTAACTTTTTTATGTTCTTCATGGGTTCAAAACAGAGTTGATTATTTCTCGGTTAGAGCAGGATGAATATTATTCTGCAATGAAGGAAATAATATTGCTTTTTGCAAATACACATCACAGTATCAACGCTACTATTTTGTTACGTTTCGTTCCAAAAATGTTGGATGTCTCCAGGGAGTTGCATGCTTAATTGTTATGTCTTATGGAGTTGTATGGTTTCATTGTGTTTCATTCTCAGTTTATTCTGAACTTAAAAAGATTAAGAAAAGGCAAATGAGTTTGAATGTTCTTAACAAGATTTCAGAACGTTGCAGAAGTTAGAAGAGCTTCACAATTCCATTGTGACAGCATGCCCTAATTCAGAACTACGAACGATCCATGACGATCCTTCGCGATGCAGTGGTCTCATGAAATAAGGAAACGTATTCGTGCTAGGAACACACACAGATTTCGGACGAATAAATCTTGCTTGTATTTTGTAGATAACAATACTTTGTTTCATAATAAACAATTTGTCAGGTGTCATTTATTTACTAGTAATCGTGCATGTTTCAGTCGAGCAAATCTTGATTATAATATTTGATACGCCGTTTTTTGCATATTTCAGACACATCCAGAAATAAGCTCCCGATTTTAAACATTAATATCTTGTTAATATTTGGGTTGCTTTCGTTGGTTCTTTTTTGACAATTGACGCGCGAATGGGGCGTGTTATGAAAAAGGGCATTTTACAAAATACCTGGTGTTGCTTGCAGGCCCACTAATCTTCCCTGAGCCTGCACGTGGGCTGCGAATTAGTAGAAATTGTTTCACTGAATTGTACAGGTCTCTTTGTCTCCAAAGGATGCGTTGAACCGGAGATATAAATTCTGGAACTATCAATCTTGGGAGATCCATTTTCTACTGGGCTACATGACTTACAATGTATAAAATGTATTTATCCAAGATCTTGACATTTTTCCTTGAATTTTTTATATGACAATGACGTAATTTTATAATGAGAGCTCGAAAATCTGAGAGTGGATTACACAGTATAGAAAGCCATATTACCCTTGTATAAACAGGTTTTCCCTGCTTTTGAAAAAGAAAACATGCTACCGTCTTGGATGAAAACACACACTGCGAAAGACAAGGTCAAAGGCAAATTTTTTATTCGAATATACTGTTCCGGCCACATGAACAGTAATAAAATATACAGGGTGTCTAAAAAAAACGCTATGGAAATCCAACAGGCTGCCGATGCCGTGCATCGTAAACATGGCTAAACAATTCAATTTTTACATAGGATGAAAGAACAGTTCTTTAGCTTTACAATGATAAATCGCTTGTTAAATCGAAACGATGAGAAATGCCCAGATAATCGTCAAATAAAAATTGCCGGTCGAAATCACATTCTTTCACCGTTGGGAATTGCATGGAAAACGAAACACAGACAATTCCCAGGAGGGAATTAAAGTTGAATGTTATATTACCTAAAATGAGCCCAACTTCTCAATCTTCGTCTTAGAGACACAATAAAAACGTCATTATTGAATTTAAACATGGTTCAATTAACCACTGAACAGAGAACATTCGTAATCAAAACGTTTTACGAAACAAATAACTTCAGCAAGAGATTCGCGTTGCTTTTGGATTGATTAACTTTGCATAATTATTGTCTTTTCAATTCCCAACGGTGGAAGAATGTGATTTCGACCGACAATTCTCATTTGACGAGTATGTGGCCATTTCGCATCATTATGGTTTAAGAAAGGTATCATAGAAAAGCTAAATAACAACTTTATCCTCCTACACTGCATGTAAAAATTGAATTGTTTAGCTAAGTTTATGATGCACAACAGCCTGTTGAATTTCCATAGTTTTTTTTTAGACACCCTGTATATAGTGCTATAAAACTGCATGATTATGCAGCAAACTTGCAAGCAATTTAATGTATATTTAGTTTTTTTGATCTGTTGAGCAAACTCAACGAAAACAAATCATGACAATTTACTTGAACATTTTTTTTAAGTAAACGGACCGTTTGGACGTAAACAATTAGACTCGTACAAAGCTACAGCCATTATATATTGAGCCTTTAATTGCATTATTCGCTTGCAGAATAACAGGTCGGAAATTTGTCTGAGCATGCGCGAGCAAAATAAGTCACGCAATTGCGTGGAATACACGCGACGCGTGTTTACAAAAAGACGCAATTGTGTAAATATTGCCAAATGTTTTTGGTACAAAATAAATGACTATTTTATGATCAAAATGGACATGATCTAAATTAATCATACAGAATTTTTTAGGGACGTTCTATTTCAGTACTCTGCCATTGTCCCTGGTGTGCTGTCCGTGTGCATTCGATCCACGTACTTTGCTGTCGAAACATTTCGAATGTTTACATGGAAATAGAGACAAGTCATGCATTTTACAACCTCGTAAACTGTATGAGCCCCTATTTTTACGCTTATACCTAAGATTTCAAATAAAAATACATGAGACAAAGAACATTTTAGAAAGTTTTATCGTGAGGCCACGCCAGTTTTTAAAATATCTTCATTTATGTTCCGGTCATCACCAAAATTACACTGAAGCCGCGGGCTTGAATATACAACACATTTTGAATCTCATCAAATACAAAAATATTTAACATGCAACCAAAACATGCCCATGAAATCGAAATTAATAGCTAAATATTCAATCTAGACCCTTCTCAAAGCGGTTTTCATGAAGGAAGTTCACATTTTGGCCTTTGATTCTTGGCAAAAATTCGACCACAACACATGCGAAGCAACTGGGTCTCAAAGACTCAGCTAAAACATTGTGAGCCCCTATTTTCCTGACGATAAGTTTGATATCTACAAACGCCGAAACATTTTTCTTTTCATTTAGCAATATTTGAAATTGATGCCAAGGGCTATTTAAAACTGAAAAAATACAGTTCAAAGTCAAGCTATTTTTACATATTTTCAAAATTTTTCAAATGCGGCGAGCTTGTATTTTGAAATTAGACCACTGAAGTTACATTAAGAAACATAGGATGGAAAATTTGAGCGATATAAAATTAATTTCAACTTACATTTCATTCTCATATCACGTTTTTCTCGTTTATTACGGTTTTAAACAAGCCATAGCTCGACGTATACGGTATTTGTTCCCATGTTCACGTCGTCATATTCACTTCTTCCAATCACTCGATTAGAAAACAAATCATCCCAAAACAAGGGATTCATGATCGATTTTTAAAAGATTAACAGTTAATTTGTGAATCGTTTGAAGGAAAGCAAAAAATTGTAAGCTAAAACAGCTTCTTGCTAACTTTTTGCTTTGTTCTGGATGTAAATGCAATGGAGCTTTGTTTCTGGCCGCGATTTTTTGGTCAGCGAAGACAAATTTCCCACCTGTTTTGGAGAATCGCTGATTTGAAAAGTATTTTCGAAATTCTTTAGAAAACCGAAAATCGTAGCCTAGAAAAAAGTCTGAAACTCAACGCAATAGAAAACTTGTGCTGGATGGTTCAGAAGAGAAAGAAGGCGGTATTTAAAACAAAGGAAATACTCGATCAGGCAAAGACATTTGCTGAAGACTGAAGTAGAGATTGTTGTAAAGGTCCCATGATCCCAAAAATTCGGGCCTAAAGGTGTAAGAAAAGCTGAAAGGTCCCAAAAGCACATGAATTTCCAACCATATTTTCCGACACCCCAACATATTCTTAATATTATCCGATATACATTGTGTTTAAAATAGCTCAATTAAATCAAGCTAACCGGCGGTTAAGAAGCGCAGTAGAACTTGCAACAACTTATTAGAGAAGTCCGTGATGGCATTTTGCAAATTATTGAAATTTTTGGGCTTGCCTTCAAACTATTGGCAAGTAACCGTGTTTAACAATAATACTATATCATGACTTCCGACGAGGTGCGTAGCACGGAATCGGCGATCGGCTGTAAATGAGAGCGAATGGTATAATAATTACGGGAACCAATCTGTATTTTAACAAGTGGAAGAACATGTCGTTTTAAATTATTCCTTAATTAATGATAGATATTGGTGTGACTTGATGATGTACAATGCCTGCAAGCAGGCAGGCAGGCAGGCAGACAAGCAATCCCGTGAAGTATGTGATAACTAATTTATTTTGCCATGTCCTATCTAACCCCTGAGCCGAGTGCATTCGAGCTCTGTAGACTATGGGCGTTAAGAATGTTGCTTAGTGTACCCTTTGAGGTAACTTTTGAAAACAACAGTAATTTAAAACGATTTCATTACACTGCACACATTTCGAAGATAATATGCTACCACCCAGATATATTAACTGAGTTCTGTGGACTTTCTTTTATCGCTAATAAAGTTTGGATAAAACAAGCATTCGTGAGGTTCTTCTCCAGCTCTTTGAAAACCCATTCGAGTATGTTTTATCATGATTGCATTCCAAAACATTCTAAAAGTATTACCAATACGAATAATAAACTTTCATCATACCTTTGCTTTTTGAAGTCCTGATCACCCTAAGCATGACGTGATAAACTAATACTTCAAACTGCCATTCGTAATTTCTATTACGCCTGAAACCGAACTTGGTGCTACAGCGCTCGCGATAATCGGCAATCAACATCTGTATCAAGATAATCGGTTTTGGGTTGTCTTGAAACTGAAAAAACTGTTAAAAAATAAAGCATTATATTTTTACTTGAATATAGACAGAATGTCAAAATTATATATCTTTCATCCCCGAGCCAACGGCGCGGAGCGCCGTTTCGGGCGTAAGCCCGAGGCGAGAGTACTAATTCCCCCCCGGCTATTTACACCCGGGGAAAGGAACGCACTAGCGAAGTCTAAAGTTCATTGATTATCGCGGGCGCGGTTCATGGGTGTATGGGTGGTCATCTCACTGATCTCAAAATATGACTGTTTGCCAGGAGTGAAGAAGGGGAAAATATAAAAATTACATGTAAGAAAGCTTGGACTTTGTATGCGAAATCCTAAAGTATAGCTTATAGCCTGTATAGGGTAAGTTTGTTTCAATTGTTTATGTATGACTTTGTATTAATATTATAGACTTTGTTCTTGTTGTTCAAGTCTTTAATTCCTATGGATTGTATGCGAAAGTTTCATTGTTAAATTAACTTTTGTAGAAGTTCATGATAAAAAGGAAAGCAAATTATTTTCATTAGCGTTCTGTACGAATTAAATTTATTTCATTTCAATGTGCGAGTAATAAGTTGAGCTCGAGTTATCGCGATCGGCAAAAAGCAGTTAATTTCAATTCACATTTAAAACGTTTTACGTAGAGTTTCGTTTTCAATTTTACATTAAAATAATGCACATAGAAACCAAAATAAGATACATACTTTATATGTTTTAGGAATTGATAGTTCTGTACTTAAAAGTGTTCAAGTTTCATCTATTGTTTGCAGGTTTGCGGTTTGTACAAAAAAAAAAAAAAAATTATCGTGTTGCCTTGACAAACATGACGTAGCAACGCGAGCCTGCGTTCAATGTTGGCATAATTACGAATACTTCATGTTGAAACAATGTTTGGAGAATATAGGCGAGTGGTTGTTGCATACATGTATTTCTAGTTACCCGTAACTCAAAGTAGCCCTTGCTACACCCGTGCTACATTTCATATATACATGTCAAATTCTACTGAATCTAGCATATCGACGGCGGGCATTGAGATTTTTTCCATTTACAGCACCTTACCCTCACTCGTGAGATATTGATAAAATCCATATCTCCTCACAACCGTCTACCATCCTCTGTAGGCCAATACAATTTCAGATTTATTATTTCATATATATTTCATATTTACACTGGGCACATTATAGATACTGGAAAGAGCTTTCATTGCCAATAGCGTTGTAGCTTGATCTATCCAAAGTTATATTTTGTCATGGAACAGCATGTGATCAAGCTTGTATTTTTTTTAATAAACACACGCTGCTGTGAGACATCAAACGCCTTTACATTTTATTAGCATCCAACTATATGCCGCGCGGGGTCGGCTATTTTGCGAGCTGCGAGTTGCGAGCTGCGAGCTGCGAGTTGCGAGCTGCGAGTTGCGAGTCGCTAGCCTCGCTTTGAATTAGGCTTTGAATGTATATTAATTTGGACGACATGGAAGGCAAAGTCGAAGGGTTTTTTGTTTTATACATATTAATGACCTTCGAAGTTAAGGTTCCCTGTAACTAAATTCGTTTCAACACGTTTTGCGTGCACTTTAAGCTGGTTTTCCACTTCAGCCGTATCGTAGCGAAGCGTATTTCTTTGTTTCCTGAAAATGCTACGATACGGTCGAAATGAAAATTGGCCTTTACTTATTTGTTTACTTTGTTAGATCCATCGGTACGTGTGTTCAAGAATTAAAATAATTATATTGAAAATAAAAGTGTAAGTTTATATTTGCCGTTTCTGTGCTTAATTAAATCTAGTAGTTTACCAGACCATTTTGTGCTTTCTAATCTTAAAATGGTTATTTAATTTTATTACTAAGTATGACCAGACACCGACTCAGTTTGTTTATATATACTGAACGCTCGGAACCCTAAACTCAAGTCCTTTTCATCGGAAGTACAACTGAAGTTAAAATAATTCAATTTACACACACACAAACGCACACGCACGCGCGCACACGCACACACACGCGCGCACACACACACACACGCGCACACACACGCGCACACGCGCGCACACGCGCGCACACAGGCACACGCACGCACGCGCGCACGCACGCACGCACGCGCGCACGCACGCGCGCATCAAAACGATTGCTATTTACAAGTTTGTAAGTATAAAAATAAATGCAGTGAATGTTTATTTGAAAAGCTGAAAATTGGCGCCAAATTGAGAAAAAGCTAAAAGCCCATCCGCCAGGATGACATACAGTTTTCAATTTGATTTTTTAGTGTAAACCATAGGTGTAAACACTTGGTTCGGTGCTTCAAAGCTAGGTTAGTGTTAACCCTGGGTTAAAATTAAACCCGATATTATCAGAAATTAACAATATACTCGCAACGCGCAACTCGCAGCTTGCACTTTAGATAATCTCATGCCGCGCTAGAGACAAACAACCTATCAATATATCAATAGAAATTATAAAATGCTTGTTAAATCTCATAAATATTAATATGAAACTATGTCTGTGCGAAATTTGTGCGTATATTATGTATGTATAGTGCACATATAATAGAAAAATGCTTTTCCAAAACCTAGCTTATCTGTTATTATTGTGGCAAGGTATAAAAGGTGGCGTAAATGGCTATAGAATTGTACGGAAGATTCTGTGAAATATTTTGCGTTCAAAGTTTCAACAACATACTCGTGCAAACAAAAAACCAAACGCATACAGTTGTCTTATAATTCTGTACTGCAGATTCTCTAACAATTATTGTAGCTTGTACACTCCTTCCCAGGGCCATCAATTTTTCGGAAAATTCCCTACTAAATATTTAACACGTTCCGCAATTCCAGCATTCCGGTGCCCCCTCTGGGCGAGTTGGACCCCCCTTTCTCTTTTTCTTTGCGGACGTTATCCTCCCTCCCTCCCACACACACACATGCACCCCCAGTAGTTCCGGTTCTGCTTCTTCGTTGAGTACCAGTGTTTAATATAAACGATCAAAGTTTCTTAATAAGATCAGTAGAATATAAACAGTCTTTAATAAACAGTTTTAGAATTAATAAAGTGGACATTCAATGTCCATTTGAAGTATTTGGCTGGTGTCCAAATGCCCTGTCCGAAAAACATCAAAGTCGCTACGAGCCTGTGACCTATAAACATACAGTTGTTCTCGAGATCTCTGTTGAAATTAACAATTAAATCATGCAATGCAATGTTTACTATAAGATAATAAAGGCAGATCAGAAACGTGTGAAATGAAAGTCCCTTTTACAAGTGTGCCCCGAGAGAACATAAGAACAATGGAGCATATGATCATACGTTTTTATTGCTAGATGTTGCTATAAAAATCTGTTTAGCATATTTTTTTAATTTAAGAGCAAACAGAAATCAAATTTAGCGCGTTTTTGACGTATATATGACTCTCAAAATTTATTGTACAAAACACTCACTAATTACGATCGAAGTGTACAGTACGGAAGTGGAAACATGTAATACGAGACTTTCCTCCCGCCCCCCTAGGTAATCAATATTCTTTGAGCCACGTGATCAGCTATTGCCAGGGTCTTTCTTCGTCAACAGGAAAAATCCCGGGAACGAGGTTGGAAGTGTTTCAGGATTTGTGTTGCTATAGTTTTGTGTTTTGTGGAATTGCACTGTCCTTTATTTGATCAATTTGCTCAAAAGAAATTTCTATAAAACGACTGTGGGAAGTCATTTTGAAAACATTATTTACTACTCAGGTAGTAAGTAAATAGTGCCTCAGATTTACTTCTCGGCTAAGCAATCAAATTGCTCGAAAGCCATTTTTACTACTGATATAATTAGAGATATTTAGAAATTATTATTTCATGTTGATGGCACAGATGTTACTAAAATTGCTGCAATGAGCTAAAGTCTTAGATTGGCCATCCTTGGACAGGGAGTGTAACTTTCTTGAACGAGATACTGCATGCATAGCGAAGAGCATGTACATTCAAACTTACTCTTTATAACTAATCCCCTTTTACGGAGGAAATCTATCTGAAACTCCCTTATCTAAACCACAGTATGCCCGTTTCAGACAATTTTATATCTATAGCAGTATTAAATTGCCAATTAACTACGCACCAGATCGTAAATAAAATCATATAATGAAATGCATTCGTTTACATTAATTCATTCAACGGATTCAGAACCCCTTCGCTAACTTACCTTCGGTAAGTCTTGCAGAAAGACCAAGCTTACATGAAGATCCAGCCAGCTTACTCCCTCACTGAGTGCTTTCCCAAGATTCATAACTTGGTCCTTTTCTAACTTGGCATTCAGAAAATTTTCACACTTTTTGATGAGGCGGTTTAACGACTCCCTTAAATCTTTTTTTCCAGTCGACTGGACAATTCGTCTGATACTTTCCCTTGCCAGGTAAATACCGTACCGAAACGTGTTTCTTTCGACGTTTTCCCTGTCCTTCTGCAAAGTGTCGAGAAATTTGTCCAATTCCCTAAGTTTTGGTGCAATTTCAACGAACTCTTCTTTACTACACTTCAGAAGAACTAACGTGATTAGCCAAGCGTATGATGTCATTCTTTGGCATTTTGCTTTTATATGATCCACTCCCATGAACTCAAGAAATGACGCACGAAGGACTTCCTCAGCTCTCAGGATGTTACGGTATCGAGTTGTTGAGGATTCGGAAATGCTCAAAAATATTTCATTTAGAAGAGCATCAAGCGCTCTCTTCACTACATAAGGACTGCTGCAGCAGGCAAGCATTGCCAGTTGCTCGAGATTTCCATGCAGCATTGAAGAATTGGGATCACATTTCTTTAAAAGATGAATGATAATGAAAGTTTCTTCATTTGAACGTGCTTCACCTTTGGTACATTCAAACTCGTCGATGAATTCCTTTGTTCTGTTTTTAAAGCGGTCTATTTTCTCTGCAATTTCTGGAAAGAAAATGTAATTTTTAGAACAAAATTAGAAATTTTCTAATGTTGTGTTATCGATCTTCCCGCCAAATATATATATTTGCTGTCTACAACATTCTTTGTGCAGAATTTTTTCATAATCATCTATAAAATGGCTATTTATACGCGGGGCCGAAATACGTTTATACATGTCAATACAGTCATTTCGATGCTTTTCATGCATGTACAATACTCATATGCGTTCAAAACCTTTCCAGCTTTGGACAAGGTTACTCAAAATGCATGACCAGATTGGAAAATGGGGCATTAGATGAGATAAAAGAAAGCTAAGGCGAATAATATTATAGGTAAAATACCTGCTTGGTTGGCAACGCGAGCTTGAAAGGGATTTGGCTCTTCGTATACATGATCATCAAAAGAATTACCAAACTCGACATCTCTTGTACTTTTCGGGGGTGTTTCGGGAAGTTTGTCTCTCCCTATATAATAATATAATGTGCTAAGGTTGTCGATTCCAAAAAAATTAATATAACTCGAAGTAGACGCTTTATCGAGCGTCTAGTTAATGGAGCGTCTAGTCTAAAGACAATGAAAATTGGATTTCTAAACCATTCATATTAATTTATTTTGTATAGATATCTAGATATTTATGGTCTTTCAGGGCCATCGAAAGCGGGGGGGGGGGGGGGGGGCCGGGGGGTTTTTGGGGATGCCTCCATCCCTCCCAATAATTTCCATTTGTTTAATTTAAGCAAAACACAGAACAGAACTAGAAAAGTGCGTAAGCAATTTAGATTGATTCTTGCCCCCGCCCTACCTCAATATTGATTTACTTCCGACGGCCTTGTCTTTCTCAAGATCGATATACTCTTCCAATCGAACGTAACACTTTATACTTATGTCAAGATGAATAACAGAGATATCAAATCTATTTTTTCCGCTTCCTTGCTGATAATTTTGCCTGACATAAATTTAAAAAGATCGCGTTTGAACACGAAGAGGTTTCGCAGGTTATCAAACAGAACTATATCTTTGTCATTCTTATGGAATGAAAAACTGAGTATCTACTTACGTTCAATATTCCTTTCTGCCATATTTCCTGTAACAGAAATTATATTTCAGTTTGTTTTGATTAAAAAAGTAAAGCTCATTATGTAGATTAAATCTATACGTATTTGTCATACATATCTGATAAACTGCGAATTTAGGTCTCCTGCTGTTTCTGCGTACCTTACTTGAACATCCTTCTCAGCGGATACGGCCAATACGATAAATTGCAGGACAATCGAAGGAAACTTAGAAGCATGCAGGATTGATCAATGGTATCTACCATTGCGTACTAGTAAATACATGCGTGCAGAATCCTTCGTCTTCCTGACAAAACCATTGTTTTTTTTTCGTAAATGAAGTATCTAAATTAGTTGTCATGGTAACACGATTTTTTAAAGAATATTTTTACAAGATTTTTTCTGTGTTGGTGCAATGTACTTAGGTGAATATGCTGCTATGCTCAAGATGGTTAGACCACCATTTCAGGACAATCCATAAATGTTCTGGTAGCGTAAGGTTTATTAAAGTTTTAGGCCCTGCAAAGGCCATAATATAGTGCATAAAATAACGTGACTGCACTTTGTGCCTTGTAATTCACTTAATGGACTTCAGCCACTGAACACTGTTAGTTCTATATTATTATAAAGTTTTGGTTCCTTAGTTTAATTTAATTACTGTGTATATAATGTGGAAAATGCGCCTAGAAGTATAATTAGACTTAATATGAAACCCAATAGCAAAAACTTGTGTTATATAATTTACCTGTACGTCTTAAGAATGCTTTGTCATTTGTATTTATACGCGTACTAAAGCAGCGCGTAATTCAACAGATTCCACTTGGTCTTGGAAAGATTATATATTGTGGCTGTAGGGAGTGGGAGTGTAGGCTATGTCTTAAGAATGCTTGGTCGTTTGAATTTATACGCCGGTACTTAAGCAGCGCGTAATTCAACAGATTCCACAGTTCCACTTGGTCTTGTAAATATTATATATACTCTTGCTTATGCTTTAGTGAATATTACTTCCATAAACATTAATACGCAAGTATTCAATGAGACGCACATGTTTAATTTTTCAGTTTTTTAGTTGTTATTATAATTATTTTTCTATAATAAAAATGGCGCTTGCCATTTCATTTGCCTGGCGAGATCATGGCGCTTGCCATGATCTCAATAGAGGCAGAGGAAGCAAGAAAGCTTTCCGTTGACAAAATGATCGATGAGTTTGCTTAAAAAAAGACCAGGTGCGAGAAATTTAAGATGTACTGTAATGTTACATTTAATTGAGGATGTATGTGCATAATTACAGTGGCACACACTTCACTCTTTATGTCAAAAACAATTTCCGCATAGTGCTATTTTATAGTTGTTTTCTTTATATTTTGCCATATATTGATATTTCCAGTTTAAAAAATCAATTAAAATTGGCTTCTAAACGACTAGAAAAATGTTCATGTTGTCAGAGCTCCATCTTCAAAATATCTATGATCCCCCGCCTTGGCCCTTGGGGGCACCCAATCCCGGTAGTACCAGGGGAAGCCTGGTGCAAACTTACGCCACTGTCGTTTTGTTCTGTTTATAGTTTTAAGTTGTCGCATAATTGAGCGCTGTATGCACCGCACTCCGCTGACTCTTATTACAGTCTATGCATGTATTATGTTCAGTTCCGTGCTCAAACATTTTTATATATTATATTTTCGAGGAGTTTGAAACATATCAGTTGTACCGTATATTGAAATTTGCATTTTGTAATTGGGAGTTAAATTCGTTTGAAAAGTCTGCAAATATTACGCACATGATCTTCCTAGTGTTTTACTTTAGACTGACTCTATTTGTCATTGTACTTTACGGCCGAATTTGAAGCAGTAAAAGGTAATAATGCAATGAATTGCTACATTTAGTTACATAAAGTGCGCACAAGATTAAAACAAGAACCCTGCTGGCTTATGCATGTATTTGTCATTGACATAGCATGGCTGCGTTACAGCCCGCTAGTGCATGTTATAACTGTTATAATTTATAGTTTCCTGCCCGGAAATGCCTAAAATGTCAAAGCGAATATAAGCATGTATACATATGAAACGTATATAAATACACAATTTTTGACGTTGTCAAAGATTGTATAGTAATGTGTTGACGCGTTTGCTAC